ATAATTTTTGTCCTGTCTCTGTCACAGTTCAGTGTCTGAAAAAGATTAGTTTACGCTACATTTCCATTATCTTTCAGAAATTGTAATTGAAAAATGTGACATTTTTTCTGATGATACAGTCCCATTTCCCATTTCTAGAAGACAGTTTGCAAGGATTCCATTTGAATCTGTTTTTGGTACATAGATGACTTACTCTCTGGAAAAAAATAATGTGGAAGGTAAGACATCCCTAACACCCCTCAGGGTGTGCCTTCTGTTAAGATACAGCCTGTTGTGCCTTCAAATGGCTTCCACTGTACTGCCTTCAAATAGCTTCTACTGTACAGCGCAGTGGAATGGCTTGGTAACAGTTTCACAGTACTCCCCAAGGGGGCTCCCTCTGGTAAGGGGGAAACATCCAACATTAGAAATTACGTTTGGTCTGGACATTTCCCCCCTATGAATAAATACCTGGGCAATGCTGGGTAATCGGCTAGTATTAAATAAAATGTGAACTACAAGAAGTTATTAAATTGTATGAAGAACAATGGAAGGCTCTGAGAGGGAGATACAGAAGGCAGCTCCTTCCCAAGTCTTGGATAGCGTTTGACTTTGTAGAGTGGGAAAGCCCACTTCAAAAAACCCTGTCCTGCATCTTAATTGCAACAGGAAAAATAGCCTCCCAGAATCCCTTCTGCCCCACCCCTCACACAACTGGAAACCAAACAGAATTTTCAATACAGGGACTATCCTCCTGGCAATAGAGACGCCTGAAGGAGAAAATTCCCCATCATTCAACTGACTTAGGGAGATGACATTTTCTACCTGAGCCACATTTGTTAAACAGCACACCCACAAACCTACATCATTGTCTTTTAATGACCCCATAATCCCTTGCGGGATGGAGTCTTGGCAACTGAATGGAGCTGAGTGTTTACTGGCCAGATGCCCTTCCTGTCACCAATGCGGAGTTATATTCAGCAGATATAATCTCAAAGTCCCCAGAGAGAGAACATCTGTCTCTACGTAGGATCGAACTCACAGCCTCCTGATTGTGAGGCGAGAGCTCCACCTCTAGGCCACTGCACCACTCACCCTCAAACCTACATGATCCTGGCCTAATAGACTGTTAGTTGCTATCTACAGCCAAGCAAAACGTACCCAGCATATTTGAAGATTCGATCAAATTGGTATCCAAGTCAGTCCAATACAGTCTTCTTTTGACATAATCAATCGTCAGGCCATTTGCTCGCCCCACGTTTGGCACTAAAGTGCTGCGTTCACTACCATCCATGGCTGCTCGGTCAATCTTGGGTTTCCCACCCCATTCAGTCCAGTACATGAACCTGAAGACACATCAAATATTCCATGTTTACATCATTAAGATACATAAGCAAATCAGGAACAGAAAAGAAATCCAAATGATAAAATTTAAACTTATCATTCTGAGCAAGATTTCTAAACAGGTTTTAAAGCTTTTTAAAAAAATAATAATAATAAAATTTCATAAAAATAAAGGTCTCTTTTACTTCTTTTGAAGATAAAAATATCTTAAAATATATTTATTTAGAAAATAACATTGTGATGCTATGATGATAACATGGCAGGTGTCAACGATGTCCACAGATATGACATGAAGAACTCCGGTGTTGCATCTTTTTACTATGGGAGGGACTTAATTTTTGTTTACAGAATGGAACTTTTGTACAAGATTATCACTGTTATCTGCTCATTTGTGTAAAACTTTGAATTTTAAACTAATTTGGCACAATTGCACTGGCTGGCCAATTCAGGGGAGCTTTATACAAAAGTAAATAATAAAATAGCTAAGAAAAATAGCAGACGTAAATGAAATTACCCAATTATAAAATCCAGTGCATTATTGTATCCACAGTATTTTATCCTTATTGTGATTTATAGATGTATTTCTGCCCAATTTCATAAACCATCTTAAACTGCTGGGTATCTTACAATAACCTATGGAATTTTTAGGGCTGATTTCTCAGACTCCACGAAATAGATTAAAAATTCAATTTAATTGCTTAATATCAAGAATTAAACAAGCGACTCACCCTTCGGCGGGATCGAGGGCCAGCGCCCGAGGGCTGTCAAGATCCTTCCAGACTAGAACTTGGCGATGTTGTCCATCCAATTTTGACACTTCGATACGATTTGTTCCCGTATCTGCCCAGTAGAGATTCTTCCCTAACCAATCCACAGCCATGCCTTCTGGGTAATCCAATCCAAACTCAACCACGTGTTCCAAAGCACTTCCATTCATGAATGCTCTACTAATGGTCTGCAAGAAAGAGAAAGGGCAAGGCATGAAAATTGAGGTGCCTGTGCTACCTATCAGTGTATTTGAGAAGGGATCCAAACAGACAAAGCTCCTTGTCAAATAGAGCTCGATCTCTAATAGGATAACTCAGATTTGGGATCCTCCTTTCCTGATTCTCTAGGTCAGGGGTTCGTCTTGGGGGTCTGGCTGTCATGGCCATGGCCATGTGCTCGCAGGGAAATGGGTGGGCGTGGCTAGCTCACCATCACTCGTGTCGGGGGGCGGGTATCCTTGTGGTGGCCTGGGTGGGGGGATCCACTGTCTCCACTGAATGGGGGGGGACACCCTTACTGGCTCCAAGGTGGCCCTGCAGATCTAAGGCTGACCATGTTCCAGCCCAGATGGCTGCCAACAAGTTTTAGATCAGTGCTCATTCGACCTGGGCCAGGGCCAAGACACTGGGGGCCAGTACTTTGCTGTTTCCAGGGGCCAGATTTAACCACATTGTGGGCCAGATCTGGCCCGCAGCTCTGGCCCGGTGTCTCAATTGACACCCCTGCTCTAGATGAAAACTGGAGGCTCACTTTAGTCCACATTTAAAAATACTTTTCAACAAAGACAATGAACAGGTATTCCCTTATGGCTGGCAATCTGCATAGCCCTTCGTGGCCCTAGTCCAGCCTTTTCTTAGCTGACTCCTTCCAGATACCCCAGGACTACAATTCCCAGAATTCCCAGACAGCATGTTTTCTATAGTGGCTATGAATTCTGTCAATTTCATCGGATCACAGTCTGGAGATCGCTATGTTAGGGAAGATGTAGTCTGTTAGGGAGGGAGCTTTGCCTAATAGAGCTGGGTTTTCAACCTCGGCAGCTTTAAGCTGCGGGAACCTCAACTCCCAGAATTCCTCAGTCATGTCAGTTAAAGTCATCAAAGGTCAGCAAACATAAAGTTGGTAAACCATATGAGGGTATGGCTATTTCTGAGATCCCCTGTGTGTTTGTTGTGGCCCGCTAGCAGAACTGGCAGCAGATTCGGACAGTGAGGAGGTTGGGGAGGAACATGAGCCAGTCCTGGAGTCTGGGGAAGGCTCTGATGAGGGCTCTGTGTCGGAGGCAGAGGAGGCCAGGGCTGTCCAACAGTTATCAGCTGCTTTGGAGTAGGATATCAGTGGGGCAGGAGAACAGCTGGAGCTGTTCCCACTGTGCGCATGCACAGACTTGCCCAGAGAAGGGAACAGTTAAGGAACAAGGGCCAACTCGGGAATAAAGGTGCAAGGGGACGATGAATGGCCCCTCCCAGAGGAAAAAAAGAGGAGCGAAAGGGGAGTGGAGTTTGCAGGAGACAATCAGTTTGCTTAATTAGTTCATGACTCTCTGAGACTCCTTGCCAAATTTTGCAGATATCGGCCTGGCAGCTCTCCGAGCCAGATAAGGTCTGTGACTGTAAATCCTCCCTTGAAAGACTTGGCTGGATGGGAATGAGCAGAATTCACAGTCAATTAATAAAAGGGGGGTTTGCCGGGACAAGGAGTTTGCTTCATGCTCTTGGGAAGCAGCCTGGGTCAGAACAGTACTGTAGCAATGAACCACACACACATTTTTGTCTCTTCTTTGGAATGACACCACTAATAAGCATTAGCAAAGTAAAGGAGGAGCTACAGATAGTCGCCGACTTACAACGGTTCATTTAGTGACTGTTCAAAGTTATAACAGCACTGAAAAGTGACATGACCTTTTTTTAGTTATGACCTTTCTAGCATACCCATGATCCTGTGGATCAATATTCAGGCACTTGGCAACTGGTTCACACTTACGACCATTGCTGTGTCCCAAGGTCATATTATCTCCTTTTGTGACTGTCTGACAGCAAAGTCAAGGGGGAAGCCAGATTCATATAACAACCGGCTTACTCACTTACCAACTGCAGTGATTCTCTTAGCAACTGTGGCAAGAAAGATCGTAAAATGGGGCAAAGCCCACTGAACAGATGTTTCATTTAACAAAAGAAAATTGGGATTCAGTCATATGTCAAGGACTACCTGTACTTTGTTTAGAAGAGGAGGGAGAAGAGAAGATTTATTAACATCTCCAACATCTGGACTCTACCTATCTGCTACAAGAACAAAGACTTGGTCTGGTGAGTCCAGCTTGATAAAATGTCCTTCAATTAAGTTCAGTAACCCACTAGAGATATGCTAACCAAGGTCAAGATATGACCACATTACCTTCAACGAGATGTCTGTCCAATATATGCGGTTGTCAGTCACATCAAAATCCAGGGCAGAGGCTTCCTTGACTCCTGTTAGTGGAATAGCAACATTATTGTTGTTCGTCTCGAGAGAGATTCGCCTGATATCTGCTCTGCGGGAAAACAGCAGGAAGGCCTCTGGGACAATGCAGGTCTTCATGTCACTCAGGAGCTCCAGGCCGATGGGGCAGGCGCAGCGCAATCCTTGGGGCCTGTACAAGCAGAGGTGGCTGCAGCCCCCATTGGATTCTGCACAAGGATTTGTACCTAAGAAAGCAGAAAACAAAATCCTGAACGTTGCTAAATCTTTATCATTGCTCCATAGCTGTCAGGTCCAAAGAATGAAGTTACTTCTGAACTGTTTATTGCTGTTCACCCACAGACAGTATCTTGCCCGACTAAAGCAATTATCTGCAATAACTATAGGTACGCTCCGGGGAAGGATCTATCCCTGTCCTCTTCCTGCCCGCCAAGCTCTGCTGTCTCTTAGCTTCCTGGGAAAGAGCCACTTGCTTCTGTACCTTCAAACCACGTCCCACCATAATAGCTAATGCAGTCTGTTAGAAAATGTGGTAACACTGACTTTCCACTTGCTCCAATACAAATAACGACAGTCCTCAACTTACAACAGTTCATTTAGTGACTGCTGAAAATTACAATGGCATTGAAAAAAAAGCAACTTATGACCCATTTTTCAGTTACGACCTTTGCAGCATCCCCATGGTCATATGATCAAAATTCAGATGCTTGGCAACTAGTTCATACTTATAACCATTGCAGTGTCCTGGGGTCATGTGATACTGTAAAATCTCCATTCCCTCCCCTGCAAAATCCCCATTCTCTCCTGATCAGCCGGGACTCGGGAGGCAGAGAATAGATGGGGGCAGGCCCAGTCAGAGGCCGCCCCACCCCAACTCCCAATTTTAGACAGTATTGAAAGGGCCTGTATTGAGAACTTTCACATCCTCATAAATTCCTTATTCTTGTGGTTAGGGTAAATGTTCACAAAATAATCTCTCTGGTTTACGGGAGAGGAGTTAGATGTTTAAGGCACTCACCCATGGTTCTGTAGACGTTGGTAGCCTTGAGGCCCATGAGATCAGGCAACTGGTCAATTATGATCTCCCTTTCAGCTGTCCGCTTATGAACCCGCTCAATACTTCTTCTTTGCCAGTCTGTCCAATAAATATAGTCCCCCAGCAGAGTGAAACCAAAGATGTGGGGCAGCTTGTCTTCCACAAGGACTCTTCTGCTGGTTCCGTCTGTTTTCATGACCTTCACAAGTACAAACACACACATACACAAGATGGGTTTGAAAGCTTAAACTCGCCTTCTTGCACAATGCAATTCTTGTCAGACAATGCAGTTCAATGATTCTCAAACTGTAACTCAGAAAATAAACGTGTGCATTTCTGCAAACTTTATTGGCCAAACAATCTCCTTTGATAACATTTCCTGCTACAAATTCCATTACACCTAACTGGAAGCTATTAGACTTCCCATCTGACATGCTATTAAATCTCAGCTCTGCAGTCTGTAAACCACTTAGAGAAGGCTGTATATAAGTCTATATGAAGCGGTATATAAGTCTAAATACTATTGCTATATATATAAGTCTGACTCAGGATCTCAGTCATGGGTATTTTTCTCCAACTCTTTTAAGCCAATGGACTTTGACATGAAATTTTTCCAGTCTTGAATATAGGAGGCCTTTTTTTTCAATATTTATTCACAAGTCCTTTCTGCACAGAGCAGTGGTGATTACTGTCTTGCCCACTACAGCTACATCTTCCTTGTTGCTTTAGTAATGAAGCAAAATTACCTACGGCAATAAAATAAGTTCGGGGTTATTTGTCTGGGTTTCATATTTCCCATAATTGGGAATTGAGCCAAAACATGTAATTACCGTAATCCAAAGCTATTTTTCATATTATATCTGTCCACTTAAAAATGAATTGAGATATAGTTCCAGGGGAGGTTTGAAGAACTAAAGATGTCTCTCTGAAAGTGGAGCTAACGACCATGACAAAAACCAATTAACTGGTGAATAGACTGATTCCTTGGAAGCTCTCTGGATAAAGAAAGGAAAGGAGATTGCCCATATGTGCTTCGGATGACTGCTCCTTGCAAGGAAGCTGCAGGCCAACAATTTTCTACTTTGGTAAGTGCTGGGAGACAAAGACAGCCAACTACAGAGGAGCCTTTTAAAGGACATGAAGTTCGCAAACCTCACTTTCTAATCACTTTTGGAAACTGCCTGTTAACTTTCCTAAAGCAATTAGAGACCTTCAGGAGAAAAGTTTAACAACTGAAAGAATTTGAAACAAAAAAGAAAAAAACTAAATAAGATTTTGATTTAAATAAGCATATTAAGGGTTCAGATAAATTGGGAACAATGACCTTCCTTTAGCATAAGAGTTTGGCATTGACTATAAAAAATAAATAGCTTCTCATGGGAAATAATTTATTTTGGCTATGCTGACTCTTGCAAGACATAACAAAGATAAACTACTTTACTGATTTCAGAACCTGGATATTAGAGGAGAGGAAAGTGAAGGAAAAGCAGAAGGAGAAAAAAAAAGCCTGTTTTTAATACCGATTAAAACTGGGACTTATAAATGACACAAAATATAATGACAACAGAAACCTTACCCACTGGTTAACCTCTAGTGGCCCAGTGGTTAAAATGTAGTATCGCAGGCTAACTCTGCCCACAGCCTAGAGCTGTGATGGCGAACCTATGGAACGCATGCCCGAAGTGGCACATGGAGCCATGTTGCCTGGCACATGCAGCATGGCCTGTTGCTCTTCTGGGTTTCTGGCCTTCGTGCATGCGGCAGTGCTGGAAACTAGAAGAGTTGATCTTCCGTTTTCCAGCATGAGCATGCATGCCGGCCAGCTGATTTGCACATGTGCGCCAGTAAGCAGAAGACTAGCTAGCTAGGAAGTTCATTTTCCAGCATGCACATGTCCCGTGGGCAGCTCCTCTTCCGGGTCGCAGCCCAGAGGAGCATGCGAAATGTGCTCGCATGCTCGCTCCCTTTTCGGCATTTGGTGCCAAAAAGACTCAGCCTTCCATTCTTCTGAGGTCAGTAAAATGAGGACCCAGAGTGTTGGGGGCAATATGCTGGCATTGTAAACTGTAAACTGTTATAAATTATGGGACTGCTATTATTGTTATTAAAAGAGGTTTTGGAAGAATGGGACCAGAAATTATCAGCTACAGCTTCAACAGTGTTAGTAATGATGTCTGCTTCTATTTGATAGACTATGTCCAAAAGAAAGTACTGAAAGTGGAACTATAAATTAGAGGCCAAGAGAATGATTTGGAAAAGGACACGTTGCTGGATATACAAAAGAACTTTTCTGAAGTTTTAAAAATTAAAAGGGAAATATAAATAGAATCCAAGAGAATGACCTGGAAATGTTTTCTTATTGGATCTACAAAAGAGGAGGATTAAAACCTTGGAGGAAAAACTGTACCATGGGATAAAGAACTGTAAAAAAAAATCAAATACTATGACACTATTTGACCGAATTAAAAATTCAATCTTTAGAAGATTGTTAGAAGTAAAAGGAAAAATTATAAAGTTCTTTTATTTGATTGAGGTTAAAGTAAGACTTTTTTTAAAAAAAAAAAAGTTCTGCAACCCTTTACGGATTGAAAAATTCACATTTTAGGAATATGCTTACAAATAAGGGATGGGATCTGTTTGTAATCATATTGGGGGTAAAGAATGATTACATTTGTTTATACTTGTGAGAAAGATTGGAAGTCACTTCTTTATACAGCAATTTTTTCATCCTTTTTTTTGCTTGTACTTTTTTTTTCTTTCTTTGTCTATTCTCTTTCTCTAAGTTTAGTTTGCACTAGTTTCTTCTGTTGTGATAGTAAAAATTCTTACTAAAAACTACAGCTATATATGTATATAAAGAATCAGGACAAATGCAAAAATGTGTCTCCAATATATCTAGAGAAAAATATCCCAATCACAAAACGAGGAAGCCTTGTTGACAA